TTGTCAACGCATAGAAAAAAAAATCATCTCAATCAGAATTAAAACGAAAAAGTTATAACATTTTTAAGAATAGAAAAAATACTGTTCATTAATTTGAGTTCGAGTTTCTGAACTCGAGTTGAAGGGAAAACTTGAACTCGAGTTTTAATCATAAACTCGAGTTTGAGCTCGAATTTAAACTTAAAAGAACATGAACTTGAATAAAGTTATAACTCGAGTTGTATTTTTTTGAGTTTTTCGTTCAAAAGAACAAGCACTTTGTATACATACTCATAAAAATCTATGAGTAATTTAACATTCATTCAATAATAATTCGGTTGAATGGCTAATTGGCTTTTATTTTAATTTAATATTCTCTACTTTCTCACCAATACATGTATTGTTTTACTCTAACACATGTATTGTATTTTTCTTAAGATTTTCACACATGTATTGTTTTGAAAAAAGAAATTGGGAGATTCAAGCTAATTAATTTTTAATTAAAAAGTATGTCTTATATTTATTCACACGCTCACATTTTTCTGTCGCACCAATATATTTACTAAAAAATATGTTCTAAGTCCATTATTATTTTTTATTTATTTTAAATCTCATGTTTTCAAATGAATTTCATTAATCTTTTTTTTTTCCTAATATGCTCTTGTTAAAATAAAGTTTTTCAACCGTAGCTCTCGTAAAATATTTTCCTCTAATTGCTCCCTTAAATAATTTTTTTTCCAGATGTATCCTTACTTAACTTTTTTTTTATCCTACAGCTCTCTCATATACTTTTTAATATAATATTTTTCTTCTATCAAATGTGCTTATTAAACTTTTTTTCAAACTAAACTTAATTATTATATAATAATAGGTATGTTAATATCTTAAGAAATACAAAAAATCCGCACGAGACGCGTGCTTGTACCTAGTACACTCAAAAAGACAAAAGTAGCCTTCACAAAACTAATAATCTACCCCCAACCCTTCTGCCCACTTGAACAACCCCATTTTCTCTCTCCCTCTCTTCTCTGCAGCACCCCACCGGCGCCGACGCTACCTCACCTTCGACTCGCTCCTCGCCGGCAAGCTGCAGCATAGACTTTGGCCCCGAGGAGACGATAAGGTTGCGACTGAACTGCCTGCCTCTCGGCGTCGTCCTCTCTCTATGGATGCTTGAAATTAGGGTCTGTTGTCTAGTTCTTTCTTCTTCACTGATTGATTTTTTTTCCTTCTTTACATGCAATGCTATCTAGTTCTACTAATCAAGTTCTTCCTTTTGGTTCCAATTGGAGATAAAAAGAAGAGGCGGAAGAAGAAGAAGGAATAGGTTTTGTGGAGAAGAGATGGCGAAATTAGGAAAACCAAAGAATATAACTTACAAGATCGGCCATTTGCTTAAAATTGAAAAACTTATGCCAAAAAATTTTTGGGTTTGGTGAAGAACCGGCCGCCCAACCCAATTTCCCAAAATTTAATATGTGTGTATATATATATAAAATTGTATACATGTATGATATGAAATTCATGTATGCTCAAATTTGCAGAACTTAACTTTGATTGTCGAGCAATGCGCGGGAGTCACCGATTCAGACAGTTTCACAGCAGCTGCTTTTGTTCATTGCAGACACAAACCATCAACGGCAAACTTCCGAACCCAATTCCATCAAAGAAAACATTAATTGAGAAGCACAATCCAAAGAAGAATAAGAAGTCGAACATTGCGGATTCCGACATCGTGCAATGGAACATGGATATCACCTCCCACATGCGCAATGGCCACTGCAAAGCTGCTCTTCGTGTGTTCAACGACATGTCTCGGCGAAGCGTCGTCTCCTACAACGCTATGATATCTGGGTACTTGGCGAATGATAGGTTTGATCTTGCACGGGACATGTTTGAGAGAATGCCTGAGAGAGATTTGGTCTCGTGGAATGTTATGCTAAGTGGATATGTAAGGAATAGGAAGCTTGGTGCTGCACGCATGTTGTTTGATAGGATGCCCGAGAGGGATGTTGTGTCGTGGAATTCAATGTTGTCTGGTTATGCTCAGTATGGTTATGTTGATGAAGCAATGAAGATTTTTGAGATGATGCCTGACAAGAATGAGATTTCATGGAATAGTTTGCTTTCTGCGTATGTGCAAAATGGAAGGATAGATGATGCTCGTAGGTTGTTCGAGTCCAAAGCGGATTGGGAAGTGGTTTCTTGGAACTGTTTGATGGGTGGGTATGTGAGGAAGAAGAGGTTAGTTGATGCTAGGAAGCTATTTGATCAAATGCCCATAAGGGATGCGGTTTCGTGGAATACCATGATTACATGTTATGCACAAAATAGTGAATTGGCAGAATCAAGGCGATTGTTTGAGGAGTCTCCAATTAGGGACGTGTTTGCGTGGACAGCAATGATGTCGGGTTATGTGCAACATGGAATGTTGGATGAAGCAAGGAGAATTTTTGATGAAATGCCGGTAAAGAATCCGGTTTCATGGAATGCAATTATTGCTGGATATGTTCGTTGTAAGAGAATGGATATAGCGAGGGAATTGTTTGAGGTGATGCCATGTAGGAATGTTAGTTCTTGGAATACAATGCTCACTGCATATGCTCAGAGCGGTGACATTGCCCAAGCAAGATTTATCTTCGATAGAATGCCTCAGCGTGATTCCATCTCTTGGGCAGCTATCATTGCTGGCTATGCTCAAAATGGTTATGGTGAGGAGGCTTTGCGGCTATTTATGGAGATGAAAAAAGAAGGCGAAAGGTTGACACGGTCTTGTTATACATGTGCTTTGAGCACATGTGCTGAGATTGCTGCTCTCGAGTTGGGGAAGCAATTACATGGACGACTGGTAAAAGCAGGATTTGAAACTGGATGCTATGTCGGGAATGCACTCCTTGTAATGTATTCTAAATGTGGAAGCATAGAGGAAGCATACAACGTGTTTAAAGATATTGAAGTAAAGGACATTGTCTCGTGGAACACAATGATTGCAGGTTATGCAAGACATGGATTTGGAAAAGAGGCTCTTATGATATTCGAGTCAATGAAGGCAATGGGAATTATACCGGATGACGTTACACTAGTTGGTGTATTATCAGCTTGTAGTCATACTGGCTTGGTAGAGAGGGGCAAACAATATTTTTACTCGATGAATCAAGATTATGGAATAACCCCAAATTCAAAGCACTATACTTGCATGATTGATCTCTTAGGTCGAGCTGGGTGCCTGGATGAGGCTCAGGATTTAATGAGAAATATGCCTTTTGAACCAGATGCTGCAACTTGGGGAGCTCTTCTTGGTGCTAGCAGGATCCATGGAAATACTGAATTAGGCGAAAAAGCTGCTAAGATAATTTTTGAGTTAGAGCCTGAAAATGCAGGAATGTATGTACTTCTCTCAAATTTATATGCAGCTTCAGGACGATGGACTGATGTTCGCAAGATGAGATTGAAGATGAGAGATACAGGAGTGAAAAAAGTACCAGGATATAGTTGGGTTGAAGTGCAAAACAAAGTTCACACATTTTCAGTTGGAGACTCTGTACACCCGGAGAAGGATAGGATCTATGCCTTCTTAGAAGAGTTGGATTTAAAAATGAAGCGGGAAGGATATGTTTCTTCCACAAAGTTGGTTTTGCATGATGTGGAAGAGGAGGAGAAAGAGAACATGCTCAAATATCACAGTGAGAAATTGGCTGTGGCTTTTGCAATTTTATCAACACCACCTGGGAGACCGATCCGTGTAATGAAGAATTTGCGAGTCTGTGAAGATTGTCACAGCGCCTTCAAAATCATATCAAAAATTGTAGGAAGGTTAATAATCTTAAGGGATTCCTATCGCTTTCACCACTTCAGTGGGGGTTCATGTTCTTGTGGAGATTACTGGTGAGACTGATCAGGTTTACAGTGAGAAGACAAAGGCTTTGTACTTGCCCAAGTTGACAGTAATTCAAAGTTTTCTTCACTTATGGCAGAAAAGTAATAGTCATGCTTATTGATTCTGGATTAACCATAATACATTCAAAAACATCGTGAGTTTGATCATAAGAAAGCAGAGTTGGACACTAAGTGGAAGAAGCTTCACATTGATGAACTGGGGCTTTTTTCAAAAGAAGAAGAATCAGTTGATCAGCAAACAAGTCAAGTTGGTCCTCGAGAAGCTTAAGTTATCTGATCATTAGTGGTATAGCTTGTGATGAGTTTTTGGCTTATTTACTTATGATGGCTTCTAAAAGAAAAGGTAATTGCAAATGGTGCCGTATCGGTATACAGATATTTCAAATATTAATTTAGAAATATGTTCAGGGAGAAATAGGTCATAAAAAATGATGAGCAAAAAAAAGGTCAGCGGATTAGTCAAAGAAAATGTTAGACAATGGTCGGCAAGTCCATGGTCTTCTATGTAAGGCTAACCTAGATACTGACAAGTTTACAGAAAGTGCTCTAATCAACATGTATTCTAAGGCCTCGTTTAGTTCTCCGATTCCAATTCTCAATTCAAGTTGAAATATGATTTTTTTGTGAGAATTTTTTACTGTAGTAGAAAAAGTTATATGTGACTTTGGATGAGAATTTTTTACTGTAGCAAACTGGAACTAAAAATTCGAATCGGAGAACTGAACGAGGCCTAAATGTAGTTGCTTAATTGAGGGGGGAAATGTTTTTGAAAAAATTTCTAACCCCGATACTGTTTCATGGACCGCAATAATATCTAGTTATGCTCAACATGGTCTTGTGGAAGATGCACTACAACTCTTAAAGGAGAATGGAGCAGTTGTGTATAGAGGTGAATTCTGTTATCTTATTGTGCATTCTAGAAAGAGACCCTTGATGCATGGTCCTTGTTGGTCATACGTAATATGTTATTATTAAATAGTAGTAAGAACAAATAGTTACGTATAATATATTAATTCTACACATAAATTAGAAGAAAGAATATTCCACATATCTTCACTTAAAGATCTTCCATATTTCTTGATCAGAAACAACATATGATGGATTATTCCCATGAATTATGGACCTCTTTTCAAAGTACTTCCTGATTGTTCGAAAAACCTCCCAATTTATAGAAAACTTATCAAAACAGCCCCTCTGTCTGGTTCTGTCTATAATCCTATGAGGTAGTAGTATTTTTGCAATACACACTATATAATGTTAAATATTTCCACGCACTAGTTCCTTTATCTCTCACTCCCTTTCAACAAATTTTCATCTTTAGCCACATGCATAACTATCACTCTGCATCTGAATTTTCAGCCTCTTCAAGAAAGCGATCTCCAGCATTTTTGGCGTCCTTATTTAACAAGGCCCTAGTAATCTCCACGCCTAAATGCGGGTTCTTAAGAGCAAAGGCATCATAGGCAGGAGAAAATATAATCTCTCTCATGTTTTTCCCTACGAATTTCAAGACGGTTTCTTTCAATCGCCGGAAAGAACAAACGTCCGAGACCTCCAAGATTTTGAGAGCATTCGACAAAGACAAGGAATCGAGCATGTGGCGCTCGCACATCTTCTGCAAGTACGGGATGTTGTACTTGTCGGCTGCAAGTGACAAAGCGTACACATGTTTTTTCATCTTCTCTTCGGGTAAACTCCCGCTGTAGAGGAACTCAAGAAGAGATTTAAGCTCTTCGTAGCTCAATTCCGACAGCGTAATGGTGTCGTTTGCTGGTGCTTTGCAGCTATCTGAGTCTAGCATGTTTTTCAAGACTTCTGATCTTATTGCCTACAAAACATAAAAAAAACAAAAAAAAAAATTGCACGCCAAATTATAATTACTATTCAGTAACAATACTACGCTAAATTTGAGTTTAATTTATGTATTACAACTTTTATCATCACTCATTTTTAGTGTTAATTTAGTTTTGTAGACTAGTTATTCACTTGTACTACTTTCCGTGTGATTATACCAACTCTACCACCAGAGTGACACTGCTCTAATTCACTCTGATTTTTCAATAGGTCTAATTACACAATCATATATAAGCGATAAAATTTAGAAAATAATACAGTAAACTACAGTCTTATACGACAACGTTTTACTAGTTCGAAAGCAAATTATATTTATTTATTTATCTGCAACATTATGTTGCAATATGTAGACATTTGACTAGTGAGCAAGAGAAGAGATCGAATTACCAATATGGCTTTATGGGCTGGTATGGAAGGCCCATTACTGCCTGGCTTGACGAATATATCTGGGTGAATTTGCTCTTTAAGTGCAAGTGCAGGCCCAGTACTGAGGAACTTTGTCCTCTCATTCTGGTCGTCTATAGCATCTGTTATAGCAGACAGGCGTCTCCAGACATTCATGAGTGACTGGTGCAGAGCAAGAAACAATTAGGAAAAAGATTCCAGAATATCTCTACAGAATCATAGAGATGGATCATTTTAGCATAGTATTGTTACTTGTAAGTAGTGCCTTAATTAGGATTCACTCTGGACATGCTGAAGTTTTTCTATAAACAATAATCATGTGTTTTGAAACTTTTTTTGTTTTTTTGTTTTTTTGTTTTTTGTTTTTTTGGGTTTATGAAGATACATAGTAATGTATCCTTATAAATTTGGAAAAGGCCTCATCATGATATAACCGAGTTGAACAGAAGGTCTTATTTTTAATTTTTACCTAGCTATTAGTTCATGAACTTTTATTTTTTATTTTTTGATAGTTTTCTTCCCTAGTTCATTTTTTATTTTTTAATAGTTTTCATCCCTGACACCAAAATTGATAAAACGATTTCTTAAATTTAATATAGTCAGTAATAACTGAAAATTTTACATAAATGGTTTTGGTTATTTAAAATGTTATAGTTTTCAACGTGTTTTAATAGTAACCAAGAGAAAGAATTTCATATAACTTAACACTCTGTAGAATTTTAAGTCATTATGCGATGGGTATATGATTCTTTTTGTTAGTTTATAAAAATTCATCGTCAATTTTATTTTCGGGGGCCAAAACTATTAAGAAAATGAAAGTTTAGAGACTTATATGCAAAAATTAAAAGATTAAGAACCGAAATATTACTATGCCCAAACTTCACAGACTAACCTTGGTAATTTTCAGAAATAACGTAATATAAGATGGAAAGAGAAAAAGTTCCTCCTCCTAATTTTAAACATGTCTCTAAAGTTTATGCTAAATGAAGTGGTTGAACTTTAATTTCTTAATCTCCCTGCAACTCTCTCTATGTGAAACGTTTAATTCTGTTGTCACAATCTTGTCCATATAAATGGAGCTGAAAAATCATTAAAAAAAAAAAAAGACACAATCCTTCCTCTTATGCTTTCGCTAGTAATTCTGGCGATGAACTAGAAGAAACAAACATTCAAGCAGGGAAAACGACCAAAACAGAACAACTTCAGTAATATGACCAACAATAAATAAAATAAATAAAAGCAAAACAAAGAAGTTGTACGTATGAAAGCAGAGCTTGCCTTACTCGAATTTGGCTTAGAATTAGAAGAACTCATCAAAGGATAGTGATTTGTGTTGTCGTTTTCTTTCATTTGCTCTTCAAGGGTGTTGAGAATTTTCCTTGCTCCCTCATAGCATGTCCCACATATTGTATTCCTCGGAGGCCTAAAAATGTGAGGAACTGAAGCACAAATAACGCAATCCATGTTCTTTTTCCTAGATATCTGTAAAGAAGAACAGAAGAAGAAGAAGAAGAAGAAGAAGGAAATAAGAGGAGTTATAAGTTATTTCTTTTTATGGACTTGGTGATTTTAAAGGAGACATGTCATGTTTTCTTTCTAGTTGGTTATGCCAAAGGGTTAGTTGGACCACATTCTATATTCCTTTTGTTAATTATTATTTTCGTAGGGGAACAACTAATGAGCTATGATTGCCTAATATAAAATGAATTATTTATAACATGTCTTTTAGATAGAGGGGGGAAAAAAGTATTGTGCATGCCCTTTGGCCTAAAGTTTACAAACAAAATGATTATTAGGCTAAAACATGCAAAGCCATTCAAAAGCCTAGAGGAGTAGTATGGGAAATCGTGTTACATCTATTAAACGGTCGATGGAAGATAATTATAGGAAGGTTGGAATAAAGAGAAGAAGGGAAATTTGGTTAGGCAGTGTCCTTTAGATGTGTTTTAAAGCAAGTCCATGAAAAGTATAAACAAATAGATAATTCCCAACAGAAAGGGAATCCAAAAGTTAGGAAGAAGAAAGGGACTTTCCAACCTCACCAACCAGCAAATATGAGCAAGGCCAGCTTATCCTAGTTAACTACTTTCTTAACACTCAGAATTTCGAACAAACATGCATAATTTGGCCCATAATACAGCCTGGGTTGTCTACACAATTGCATTTTCAATTAGCATGATCATCGCAAGGCTATTGATTTTCCCTTGGATGATTTCACACATATATCCCGATTGTACTACAGGTTTGAATCAAAATTCTAATTTTTGCTGTAGGAAATTTTTTTTTTTATCTAAAAACTAAATGGGCCAATAGAGTCAACCTAATTACCTATTTTGGAAGGGTTGACTTCTCTACCTCGGATTCTTTAATGCTGTTGGGGAAATATTTCTGACAACGTGCCAGGATATACGATAGTTTGTGAAATTTTACGTTAAAACTTGTAAACTCGAACGATAAAATTGTAAAAGTTATGATAATTTTTGAAATTTGAATTTTACGATAATTTACGTTAGAATTTACAAACTTGAATGATTCATTGTAAAATTCAAAATTTCACAAATTATCATTTGAGTTTATAAGTTATAATGTAAAATTTCACAAATTATAATATATTCCGGCATGGTATCAGGAAAAAGTAACCGGACAGCAAGGACCCCTCTACCTCTTATAGATTGTGATCAAGGAAGAAAAGAGTAGTGTACCTTATCTGGCAAAGGAGTCTTTTTTGGTTGGTGTTGAAGGGGGTGATTTTTACTTTATTGGAGAAGAAAGCCCTGTTGATAGAGTGTGAATTTTTGACATATGGTTTTTTAATGGAAAATTTTCAGAAAAATTATTAAAGAGATAACATTATTTTATTTCTATTATTATTTTTAAATTTATCTTATGCCACTAATAATTTAAATGTTATTTTTTTTTATAATTTATAAGTTATCTTTTCATAACTTACATGTTATTTTTGGTAATTTACAAAATATTTTATTCTCAATATATTTGTTTTTAATTCTCTCATAGTCTCCCTCTCTTTTCTCTTCTCCGTGCATGACTAACAACCTTCTACGAGTTTTCAACGTCTGTTCTCCACACCTCCTGGCTCATCAGAAAGCTCTCGACGAGCTGAGTTGAGTCTGGAATTGTGCCTTGTGGCTGCCAGTTCCACCGGAGAAGGCTGCACTGGCCGAAGTTTTGAAACACAAAACTCTCAATCGTGATATCTCCTTTGACTTCCGATCGACGTGATTTCAGTCTCTACAGACTCAGAGTACCGAGACGAAGAGAATTATACCAACTTCATTGACCGAATCTCACTGAAGTACCATCATTAGAGTATCGTCACAATGCCGTTGAGACTTCATTGTATTTTGCTTACCGGTGGGTGGTGGTGTTTCACTACTAGCACAAAATGACTAAGAGAGCAATGACAAGTCGATCTATACTGATGGCTGCGAAAATCATCGCAGCTTTCCAGAGAAACGAGAACCTTCGATCACGACAAATCTCTGTCAAGATCTGAGCACTTGCCGGCGGCGCGGAGATCTACCAAATGCAGTGTACGATGGAGTCGGCCCTTCTCTAGCCACGGCAACGGCTTAGCGACAACTGAGTTCACCGACGTTTAGAGAGAGGGATATGAGAGAGAGGGGGAAGTCTCAGAGGGAGGGTAAACTGACATGCATGAGAAAGAAAATGAAAAAAAAAAGGGTCAGTACAAAAAAAAAAAAAAAATAGAATGGCATCATAATTTTATGTAATAGCATAAATAATAGAATATTAGAGTTAAAAAAAACAATGATTAAATTTAAAATTTTCTCTTTTTTAATTCTCAACTTTCTAATAATTTGATTATAGTTAGCGCTGTAGATCATAAATGCAGGTTTATTAGGCGAGGGGTTCAAAATTGAAACTATTTTCCTGTGACTATAGTCCATAAGACGTGCTATTCCCATATAATGGGAGAGAATTGGGGATGAACATTTTACCCGCGGGTAGCCACCCCAAATAAGGCGGCTATGAAGGTTATTAAATGGAGATGGAGGTGGGTATGGAGGTTTATATTCTCTCCTGAATTGAAAGTGGAGTGAAGGCAGAAGAAGGCCGGTATGAAGGTTTTAAAAATATTTTTAATACAAATATATATTATATATTATGATTGTATATAAAAAGTATGGTTTTATAAAAATTAAAAGTATTTTACTTTTTACCATCTTAAAAACTCTAACAATTTCTAAATTTAAAAGATAATAATGTTATGTTTATCAATTCTATATTTAATTTTGTCGCAATATTTTTTTTCTTATTAGGCAAATTAGTAAGATATAAGGAAAGCTTTTGCGATGAGAAATTCCCGATTCCAACCTCTAATATGCGGGTATGGAGGGTAAAGGTGAAAGTGAGGGCGGGAGTAGGAGAAACATACCCGATCCCGTTCCGCTCGATGCTCATCCTTAGAGATGATGTATCTTATTTACTTATTCGATTCAGGGATTTTTTTTTTGGGGTCATATTTTAAAGGGAACTACAAGGAGGTTTTTATTATTAAAGAAAAAAAAAACGAATTACAAGAGAAATTAAACTTATATTTTGAAAAGCTCTGATATTTCTCAGCTGCAGAATATTTTTGAAAGACTTAGTAAAAAAAGAAAAAGATATATATTGTGATTATAAAAGTTTCTCACATATTATTTGACTTAAGGATAATAATAAACTTTAAAGGCCTCACTTTATATCGCGTCTGCCCTGCTTACTGTCAAGACCCGTCCCAAAAGAGGGAATAGTGCATACATGGAGGTAATGTTGAGTTCGTGGTCTGAGGTATGCAACATTGGCTCAGATCGTGTTTGGAGGCGGCCAGATCTGGTGAAACAGGATCATGGTTAGAAGAACCCGGCTAGGATGAAATGAAGATGCGGCCAGAGATCCACGACAACTCTTTTACATTGTTTTTGTAAAATAATGTCATCGGGATCTCCATCACTAGTTGATGCGAGTTTTAGCTCATGTGATGTAATTACAGAGGTGGTCTCCCCGCTCTCTAATTGTTTATTTTTGTACTATCCGTAAGAGTTACTTCCTTTTTTAGTGTTGTGTATGACCTCTTTTGTGCAGGTATCGGTGAACGTTTGATTTATAAATTTAGAACCATAATTCATAATTATTCTCAATTTACGTGTATTTTTTGTAAGAAAAAATATTATAACGAACTACGACTCATGATTTAAATCATGGTACGAATCTACCAACCAAACGCATTTGATCAAGATGATTGGAGTTTTATCAATTGTCGAGATGATATTAAAAGCGTCGGTTGAGAGCTTAATTACTGGTGTCTTTACATTTTTCGGAACTAGGCGTGTACCATATAATATTGACGTTAAGTGTCTTTGTATAACAATCAATATTGGTGTTTGTATATCCTTAATTTAGAATACAATTATCTATTTCAAAAAATAAATAAATAAATAAAAACTCGTAATGCTATGTTCAACCTTAATGCTGCATACATCCTTTGTATTTTATAAATTAAGTTAAAACACAATCGCATTGACATTGGAATCGAGTATCATTCTTTTTTAAATTTTTCTCATAATATTTATTTTATGATCATTACAATCCATGTTGTATAAATTTGAACTTTATAGAATCTCTTTCAATTTTGATTTTTTTTAAAATAAATTTCCTTCTATGCAACATTAACATGGGAAAAGCGAATGACTAATCTTCAAATGTGGTACCCGGTCAAATTGAGAAGAGCTATAATCTAGCTCCTCTGGCTTTTCTCCTAATCAGCATGTATAGAGAGCTCATCATTCTCCCTACTTGTCCCTCTCTTCTTTATTGTTAAATAATTTTCTCAAGAATGTAAAAGAACATTTCTTTTTTCTTTTTCGGTTCGTTTTGAGTAAATGGTCTATATAGGCCTTTCATTTTGGATTATGCAATTCGTTTATATGCTTGAATATAAAATGTTAGTCCATACTCGTTTTTTTTTTTTTGTTGGTTAAAACACAGGAAAAACAGACACAAAATCCACAAGTAGATTAATGAAAGAAAGAAAATTATTGATAATCTTTTGCCAAGTGAATAAACATGTAAATCCAACTAGCATCCGATACATATATGAAAAATATTTACATGACCATCATGACTCACCCGATACAGATAAATGACACACATATCACCAGACTAAGAAAACGTTACACTGTAAAGTCTCTTAAATAAATGATAAAATCCCAGATTGACCGATACAAAAGAGATGATAATTGCCATACAAATATTATGACCCATAGAATCAACTTGTTGTTTATCTATATATGTTGAGCTTTCATTTACCCTGCAGAGCAGCAGCAGTGGCCGTACTTGGAGAAGCAATATTCTCCGCATCTTTCTCACCAACACGCTTCTCGTAGTAATGATATATCGCGGCGCCAGATAGCACAGCTAATGTTAAGGCTTGTGCATGCATTCTAGCATAACAACAGTAACACAAATGTTTAGAAATCTCTGTACAATAATTGTAATAAGTAAAGATAATTCAAGTCCAAAATCCATATTTTTGAGAGACATATATAATTACAGTACCTGGCATGTATGAGCCTAAGACTTGGCTTCGTAGGAGACCTTGATCCGCTATTGTAAGCTAGAGATGCTCCAATTCCTGATGCCCACAAAGCTCCTGCAAAAACCACCCATTTTATGCACATTAGTCACAAGCCATCACAAAAAGTTATTAACACCAAAAAAGAGAAGAAAAGGAAAAAAAAAAAAAAACTGTTATTTGTTAGCTATACAGTATATACCAATGCTGGTGAGCTTGTGCTCTGAGACCCATGACTGAATTGCTTCCATTTATTGTTTCTTATTCTTTTTAAAAAAAATTAGCTACAAAAGAAAGAAAAACACACGAACACACAAAAGCTAGTGATGAAAAGAATATGATCAGTTAGACTGAGCCTGAGAGTTAAAAGGCAGGGGATATTTGGTATTTATAGGAATTATGAACTCTGGTTTTTGAGTGTTGTCAATGAATTACTAGTGTGGCCCACTGGTTTTTAGATAAAGAAAGGTGCCCTGGGAACACTGAAAGATGTAAACTAGAGGCTAGCCTTTCCATTTTACCACTCCGGTTTGTTGTATTGCAGATTCTTAATTTTGCCCTTTTTATTTTAACATGTGCTAATGTACTGTAAGCCATTCGATTTGCACCAGCTGGGTGGTCATGGGATAAAAATATACCACTTTAATATCTCTCAATTTTTTTTATAATAAAAAAAGAAACTAAAAATATCTAATACTAGGTAGAGATCCAGAAATAATATTTGGTAAACCACATTGAAAATCTAAAAACTGCCTCTTGGATATTGGACTTTGGGCACCACTGAAATAAAATATACATATAGATTCTGTAACAAAAAAGGATTAGGATCGGATTTCTTTAGTGAAAGAAAAAAAGTTAACCATTAGCCAATATATCTTTTTGCCCTTTGTCTTTTCCCTTTTCATTCTGATGCTATGCTGAGAGGAGGAGAATGGAAATGAAAGAGAATACTTTCGATAATGATATAATTATTCGTCTTTAATTAAGTAAATAACTCGGACTTTAATTTGTTAGTTTAATACTTGGGAATGACCAGCTACTCGGTTTTGTATAATAAGCGTCTCATTTCTAATTTGGTGAGTTCGTATGGTTTTGTTGTGACCATAATGATCGTGGCTTCAAAAAGGCGTTGGTCTTATTGCGGCCCAAAACTGTGTTCTATACTGTGAAGATTTGAAGTGAGAGACAATTGATTGGAGGCAGGCCTGCTCATGAAATGTTTTACCAAATACCACGGAAAGTGACAATTTAGTACACCAATTCATTTCAAAGGGTCATTATTACGTGCTAGAAGTGTGTGTGTGTGTGTGTATATATATATATATATATATTTATGTATATGTATGTATACACTTTACACTTCTGTAACCTTTTAATATATATATATATATATAAATAAAGAAGTATATATAGACATAATATGCATACAAACAAAGGCTAACGATCAGTCCTAAACTTAAACATGCAAAACTTGAATTTCAAGAGTAATATGATTTTTATCTTGATAATAATGCAAAAAATGCGCACAAGAAATCAATACCACGTTACATTTCCAACTATATATATATATATATCAATTGTTTTGTAGCGTAGAGCCTTGAAAATGCAACCATCCATACCTGTTTTGTTTTTCATTTTATTTTTTTTTCAAATATCATCCCATGCAGGAAAAAAATTAAAACTTGTAGGTAGAATTAATGCAACCAAGTTGAAGAATATTTGGGCCTACGGATTTATGAATATCTGAGCGTTAACCACTTTTATCTTGCTTTCTCTATTACATGATCCAAGTTAGATGCAATTATTATACAAAGGGTCCTCATATCTATAAACGAAAATAATCAGTGCCCACGTTACCAGACAAAATTGTGGAATCTGCTGATTAGCACACGTGTGAAATTAAAAAAAAAAAAAGAAACAAGCAAACGACTATATATGGAGAAAATAAAAGGAAAAGAAAAATCGACCACCAAACTATCAAAACCACTAGAGTGAATGGAGAAATGTGAAGTTTACCAAACTAGTGAGTGGATAAGCCTGTTCAAAAACCGATTTCTGTCGGTTATTCTCTCAAATAAATCTATTTGTTTGATGATCAATTTATGACCCCATTTATTTTATCGATTTGAATTTTTAATTTTAAATTTTTACTGTTAAATACTCTTAAAAAATGTCACATCTAATTTTTTCTGTTACAGTTAAAATCTCTAAAAAAATGTCACATCTCAGTTCGAATTAAAAACTCAAATCTACGAAACGAATGAGACCTATATTTCTAAAATTTATCAAATTTAATCCCATACGACCTCAAATTAGACACATATATATGTATTCTAATATTTATTAAGCTTTTAGTTAATACTTAAATTTTTGCATAGACATATTTATTATTATTTACTACCATGAAAATTTAAAACTAGGTATTAACTCCAATTTCACCCATTATAAAAATTACACTGTGACTCTGTGAGTCAATATTTATCTATAAAAATGAAATTAAAATACATATTTTTTAAAAATATTTTAAGTAAAAATTATTATGGTATTTTTCACACTAGATTATATTATTACATAACTAATTATTATAATAATTTTAAATTTTAATGTTTGTAATTTTTTTTTTTTAGAAAATTGTTGAACTTACTTTAAATTGCACGAGTTTTAAATTTTTATCTCTTACTCTTAATTAATATTCTTTTGACTAATATATTTATTTGACTAAAAAGGATATTAATAAAAATTAAAGGTAAAATTATAGACTCATACACTTTAAAAGGTATTTGTCTCTTTTTTCTTTTTTGTTATATCTCATAATCCAAAGAAAAAAGAAGACAAATATCTCTTAGAATACATGTGTCTTAGATATTCACCCTTTACTTTTGATTAATACCCTTTAGTTAGAGAACCATATTGGTCAAAAGGATATTATCTAAGAATAAAAGATAAAAATTTTAGAACATGAATTCACTAATTTTCTCAAGAGTAGTGCACCTAAAAAATTCATTAATACTCCCACCAATTCACACTTTATATTTATTACAATTTTATCCTTTATTAAAATTATATTAAAACCTACTAATATACACCCCAAGTTAACTATAAATGGAAGTAAAATATTTATCAAAGAAATAACAGAGTATACAACCACATTAACTATAATGAAAAGTAATTTTTAAATAAATAAAAAAATACCCAATATTTCTGGCTAAAGCTAATTTCATGTTCATAAACCCTAAAATTTTCTCCATCCAATTATTTGAAAATTTCAATGGAGCTTCCAATTGAAACACAAAAAAAAAAAAGTTATGTCTTTTGAACAGCCAACAAATACTAAAATATGTAAATATACATATGTGAATATGTGACAGTCTTTGAATAAAGCATCAACATCATTGTGCTTATGTTTTTTTTTAATCACATCTAGTTGTTTTTCTATTATGGAGACTTTATTCTTATTTAGTAGTCATGATCGAAGAAGAAGAAGAAGAAGATCAATAAATAAAGGTAAATGGACTTGCAATATTTTTAAAAAGAAAATATGACATCAAGATTCAAATTAAATGGGGTGTGAGAGGTTAAATTAGGTATTATGAAAATTAAACTTTTTAAATTTTTATTAGAGGAATATTAATTAGTGAGGACATTTATAAACTTTAAGTGAAAATATAACTGCTTGTTAAATTCATCAGAGATATTTAGGCAATATGTCATAGTTTTTAAGGTTGGTTTGACTTTTGTCATAGTTAATAAAACTATTACATAATATATGACATCATTTAAATTTTGTATATTGAGTAAAATTATACTTATACTTTTATTTATTTCATTCAATATCTTTAAATTTTATGAGAGTTTTATAGTTTTTCATATATATATTTATAATTTTTATAAATTTTACGATTTTTAAGTATTTTTTAAACATGCTCTGTAATAGCTTTAGTTGGTTGGCATATGTTAATCTAAACTTACTTGCGGGGTCCTGCCTAATTCCCCACCTAGTAATGGGGCTTCCAAGAAGCCCATTTTCTAAATTGGGCTTAGGTGTAAGCCTAGTCTAAGAAAGAACTAGCCCCTTCTGGGTTAGCTTCGAACATTTTCGAACAAATTGGGACGCGGTTCGAAAACCGAACCAGACCAGACTCCATTCCATTTTATTCCAGATCCTTTTTCTCTCACTTCTGCGTTAATCTAACCAGAATTTCCCGCCATTCCAAAACCAGCTTAGCTTCCTTCACACACTTTTCCCTCATCCCTCACCGCTCTCTTTCTCTCTCCTCTCTTCTCTCTCTCTCTCTATACATATATGTATACATATAGAGAGAGAAAAGATATAAGGAAAACTCCAACACTGAAATGGAAGGCAAGTAAGCAATTACTAGAGTAGAAGAAAGAAAATGGAATCCGATCAAAGAAGAACCAGAAGTCGAAAGCCTCTCTCCAATTGCACCAACAGAATTTCCTCCCCCCAATCGTCGTCGTCTTCATCCGCTCTCCTCCGCAAGCCCGGAGACCCCCTATTCTCCGTCCTCGGCGCCACCAAATCCGCCAAAAATGACGCCGTCCCCGCCCCCCATGTCTCCGTTCCCCCGCCGGCGGTTTCTTCCACTCCTTCGCGGCCTCCGAGATCATCCGCTGCTCCTGGTACGGTTTAATTTTTCTTTAGTGCGTGTAATTGGGTTAAGATTGGGAATGTAGGTTTTTTTTTTTTTGGTTACTGATTGATTCTAATTTGGGGGGAAATTTGATTGATAATTCAGATGCACTTCATTTAGCTCTTGCAGGAGTTGGTGGTTTTTACATGCTTGTCTCATGGAATTGATTATTTGCATGCTTAATCGTGTATAAGTAATTCCCGTTTGCTTAGGCAATATTGGGGTTTGTGGGGTTAGTAGAGATTTTCTGCTGGACCAATTATGCAGAATTGAGGTTCTGTGTCAATATGCATTTGAGCTATGTCTGGGTTATTTTGTAGTCTTGTAAACTGTTTTGTACTTGATGGAATCACTGCTATTTTTTAAGAATTGTCTATGAGCTTCGAGAACTTAATGGGGTAAATTTGTTGTTCTGAATCCAGGTAGAGGTGATTGTGAGGTTTCCGAGCCGTGTTCGGTTTACAGTCGCAGACCGACTGCAGAGAAATTTAAGAGTCAAGTGAAGCCATCTGAAAAGCCCAAGTTTCTCTCAGACGTCGGCGCCACCAAATCCACCAAAAACGACGCCATCTCGGCTCCCCGTGTCTCCGTTCTCCTGCCGGCGGTTTCCTCCACTCCTTCGCGGCCTCCAAGATTGTCCGCTGCTTCAAGTGCGGTTTGATTTTTCTTTATTGCATGTAATTGGATTAAGATTTGGAATTTAGGATTTGTTTTGTGACTTGACTGATTTTGACTTTTGGGGAAATTTGATATAATTATTGAGAATTCTGGAACGAATAATTTGGATGCGCTTAAAAAGTTAGCTCGTCTAGGAGTTATTGCATTTTACACGCTTGTCTTATGGAATTAAATTATTTGTACGCTTAATTGTGTGTAAGAACTACTGGTTTGGCTGTTTGGGATAATATTAGTAAGGCAATATTGGGGTTTGTGGGGTTACTAGAGATTTTCTGATTGACCAATTATGCAGTTGTGAGGTTCTGCGTCAATACACATTTGAGCAACGTTTGGGTTTAATCTTGGAGTCCTGTAAACTGTTTTGTACTTGATGGAGTCACTATTATTTTTTAAGAATAGTCTATGAGCCTCGAGAACTTAGGGGATAAATGCGTTTTCGGAATCCAGGTAGAGGTGATTGTGTGGTTTCCGAGCCATGTTCGGTTGACAGTCGTAGGCCGACTGCTGAGAAATTTAAGAATAAAGGGAAGCCGTCTGAAGAGCCTTTGGGCAAGACACAGACTGCTGAGAAAAGGAAGAGCAAAGGGAAGGCTATTGCCGAGCCACCAAGTTGCCCTCTTGCAACAAAGATTCAGAAGATTGGGTAAATATCTAGCTTTTGCTCTTCTTTTTTTTTTCTTCCTTACATTTCAGTGTTGATGTTATTTCTTGGTGGATGTACTAGAATTGATAGACGTGAGAAATTCCGTGATTTTTCTGCTATCCAACAGGATTTAATTAAGTTACTTGGTTGTTGCCTGCTATGTAAAATTTTCACTGCTTCTGGGTTTTGTGCTTATCGCCTTTTGAATAATAGGGAGAAAATAAAGGAAGATGGAAGCAAGAGTCTATCCAAGGCAGGCACAGTTCCGCGTAAAAAGGTTTGTTCGAAGTCGAAGATTCATCTTGCCTTTCTTCGTTACCAGCAAGAAAATCTACTTAGATCTTTTGTACTGTCAGTTAGTCAAAAACAAATTTTACTTTGCTTTGAACTCTTTGCTTGCTCTTGAAATTTCAAATATTGAATTTTGTTACGTAATAAAAATACTACGCTATAATTCTTCTGCTAAAATTAGTCTACTGTGGTTTTTCTGCAGAAGCAGGGTCGTCTACCATCTAGGAAATATTCATCCAAGAATGCCTTGTCTAAAGAATATATCGAGCAACAGAGAGCTTACTTTGCAGAAATTGATGCGTTTGAACTACCAGAAGAGGAGGTTCACTCGATTTCAGACTTGGACTAACCGGAAATTGATGCGTTTGAACTACCAGAAGAGGAGGTTCACTCGATTTCAGACTTGGACTAACCGGAAGAGATACGTAGGATACCTTTTTGCTGAGCAATAGGCAGCCTAACCCTTCTGTATAGTACTTAATAAATTGTACTTAACTAGTTCTGAGGAAATTGCAACCCCTTGCCCAACTACATTGGCTGAATTACTTGAGAATCTTTTTCTTGCAAGCTTATGCATCGAAAGTCATTGTTCTTGACTTACTGTATAGCCATATTTGTGGTTGGGTTTTTGCTCAGTTATGTGCCATACCTGCGGTTGTGAATGTATGATCTCATCAAATTTTCAACTAAATAGGAATATCCACTCATCCTAATTTCCTAAGCCTTTCAACTTTTATGCAAAAGCCTTTAAGCTCCAAGAGTCAACTGATTTTGTTTAGATCTTTAATTATTCGCTTTATTTTCTTGTTCTTGAAGGTGACAAGATTATTATTGGCTAGCTTGGGTTTCCATTTGCAGTTCGTATTATTGCCTCGCATGCTAAATACTCTGCAATAGTTTATTACTCTGTGGTTGGTAATCGATTGCAGATATATTGCTGATAAACACGCAACTGACCCTTCTTACTTCTTACCTTCATATACACAATCTCAGCACAAGGTCTTTATTTGAGCGATGAAAATCCAGTTATCTAATTTCTAGTTTGGTTTTCTGCAATCGATTCTGGTCTCGCCTTTTCTTCCTGTGAGAGGTCTGATGTTTCCCATTTTGACCATGGCATTCGTAAAGTCCTTGTAAAATGAAAAATTATTGCTCGCATATCGTCAAACCAGAGAATCAGCAGAACTTCCATTGAAGAGGGCCTGGTCTGACTGAAGAGGACCCTTTTTCTTCAGCAAGTTCTTGAAGTATAGGTTGTCGGAATGGTTTGGTCTCTGAAGGTCAAGTGGCGCAGGTTGTCATCGTTCCCACTTCTCACTTCTCGGGCACTGTCTCTGCAATGACGTGGAGAAGGAAGCGTCAATGGTGTTTGTGTCACTAAAGATGCTGATAAGCTCCAATCCAAACAACCAATTGAAAATGACAAATCGGAAAGAGAAATGCTAACAGGAAGCTTTGATTAATATCAATGATAGAAATTGCGTTACATAAAGAGATATGAGGATATTCGAGAGATCTTTTGCTCTCCCTAGACTATCTTTTCTTGGAAGTTTCACAAACTGAATAATCCTCCCTTATTCTACCTCCGTTCTATTTGTACTCACTATCTCTTAATCCACTCATCAATCCCAAGGCCTAACTAACTACTAATTACTTAACAAACATAACAAACCACTAACTACTTATTATATTGATTACTAATTACTACTATAATCCTAGCATTACTCCCCTCCCCAAGACACATTGTCCTCAAGGTGTGGTCAAGTGACCGCAGTGGAATGCCGCCATCTCCTTCCCATGTCGTCAAGCCCACCTTTCAGAATGTTGAAGGGCATCGCAATCCTTGAAGAGCCAACTTCAACGGTGACAAACCAAGGTGGAAAAGGTGCCACAAAAGTGTAATCGAGAGCAAAAAACCCATTAGAGCCATTGTTCAATCCACGAAACATAGAAATTTTGGTTTTTAGAGTTACAAACTCGGAAATATCAGATTTTCCATTTGTAGAGTGTCCAAGTCCTACTCCAATGAAGTCAATTTCTCTCTCCCCAGCCCCAGGAGTGCTGGAATTCCCAGACCTAGTCATATTTGGGCCAAAATTTGAGGACCCATTACATATCTTGCTGAAATTGGTCCCACTTTCGCTGAAATTTTTAGGCCCAACCCCTATTGAGCCAGAAGTAGGCCCAATAATGTTGGAATTACGTAGCCCATACCCAATCACACAAGAATCGGATCTGCCCACACCGGAAACACGTGACCCAGTTCTCATTTGGCCAGAATTTCGAAACTCAGCCCCACCGACCCCAGGTTTTGAGCCAAACTTCCATGCCCTAACCATAATATCGCCGGAATTAAGTGGGTCGCTACTATACCGGCCGGAAACAACTTCAACATCGCCAGAATCATGTGTGCCAGTCCAAACTGTAGCCAAATCGCCAAGCCCAACCTCAGCCGCGTAAAAAATTGTGAGCCTAGCCCCAAATGTCGCCAAAATTACGTAGCCCTCCGAGCACAGCCCACCGTCAAATAGCCTCTTCCGCCGTGGGTCTTCGAGATTTGGGGCGATTTCGCCCATACCAGCTCGCCTTCCCTCATCGCGAGCTCTGGAATCGCGTAAGCCGGTCCAAATCCAGTTGGGATCCCACTCAATTTCAGAGGAATCACCTGACCCAGTCCAAATCCGGCCAGAAGTGGGCCCCTCCGTGTTGCAATCGCGTGTTGCAATCGCGCATATGGTCCAAGTCCCACCGGGATCTTTGAAAAACGTCGAACAGAGGGCATACCTCTTGGAGAAAATGACTTGTTGTTTGGAGAAGGTCCATACGACTTGTCGTTTGGTGTGGCAGCTTTGAGTAACCTTGCTGATCGAGTTCGAAAAGGCTGAATGTGAGGTTGCTGTCGTATCCAGGTGCTAGATGTCGTTCCCTTAGCCACCTTCAAGGCCATATTACGATCCTCCACCCTCTGAGCCAATTCAATGATCCGATTCAACCCACTCGGCCGAAGCAGACAAATCTCCGCCCTAATTTCCGGTTTGAGTCCATTGATAAAGTTTCCCTCGAGAATCGCTGTTGGAATCTCCATTAACGGAGCGGCCAACATCTCAAACTTCTGGATGTAAGCTCGCA